ATTAGCCATAAACCATGTAATAGTTCAAACAGATGGCAGAGAGAGAAAAAGGATTTGTGTTGTTATTTTGCATTTTAACAGGAGATTAGATGGTTGCACAGAGAAAACATGAAGGAAACAGAACGACAAAAGAAAAGAGAGATAGGACTTTGTGAAAGATTAGAATAAAGTGAGACACTGAGATCCTAAAGTAATAATGAAAGGAAACAATGGGAGTGATTTAGGCAGGAACAGAGAGAAACAAAGGGAGGCTGTATTCCAATAAAGGTCTAATCTCCATGAGGACGCCTGTCTGCTATCGACCCAGATAACACTGCGGGCTGTGTATCATGAGATTTGGGGCAAAAGGTAAACAGCAACTCAAAACAATCTAATTCAGTTTGAGGGTGAAGGGAAAGAGAACATTGATGTATTGTCCATCCCTGTGGAGTGTGTGAAGAGAAATGGCATCTTTTATTCAGGCCCCTATGAGTCACTCCATGGAAGCGGACGTCTGTCCCACATCACCACTCTGAACCACTAAAGGGTGTGTGTCAGATTTTGGGCAGAGGAGAAGTTTATTTTAATATAGTTCTTGGTATATTATTAACATTCAAGCCATGGGATCCTGCAAGGTTATTTGTGAAATTGAGTCATTTTTCCTTATGAAAATAGCTATGTGCAAAGAAATTGATACCTATACTGTATTTCAAATTATGCACTTTAAAATGCAAAATGGTGTTCAGAATACAGTCCAAAACGCACAGTCAACTAACAGGCCAGCAATTGGATTTTGAAAAATCACCTAAATCCTCATAGGAAAGCTTCACCGACCAAGGCAAGTGAGACTCATCACCCAGGGTATTCTGGGTGCCCGCTGGAAGAGATTTTAGAAAATATCATCCTATGGAGAAAAAAAAGATAATTCACAGCTCTGAACAATTTGTTTTATTCAGAATGCAAAGCTCTCTCAGCCATTTCTCTTGGATTCTGTTTATCCTCCTAGTGGGCAACTGCCATGCTTTGAATATGACAGAAACAAGGTGCCACTGAAGGGAGAGAGAAGGGATGTGGGTCAGACAGGCAAGGCATAGATTTAAATGCCAAACGCTGCAATGTGAATCTCTACTGAATGGCAGTGTATACAGACAGTGTAATAGACTGTAAGGGTATGCGTGTAAGAGGGTGAGAGAGCGTATATGTGTGTATGTAAGGATGAGAGAGAGCGAGAGAGTGCTTACAGTGCATCTGCAGATGTATTTATGAGTACAATAGCAACCCTGCGGCTGGCCAGGAGGGTTAAGGACAGATATGGCCAGCTTAATTCAGACATTCAGGCCATTCATACTGGCTGATGAGCTAAAGGAGGGGATCTAATTTTAAAAATGGAGCCAAGCACCAGTGGAGTTTCTAAAAAAGAAAGCGATGACTGCAGAGAAATTCTCCCATTCCATGTGAGACGTCAGCATTGTCATAGCTCAGGTATGTCCAAAAGAAGCACTTAACACATTACCAATATGTCTTTCAAACAGGCTTACCCCCCTTTCTCACACACACACACACACACACACACACACACACACACAAACACAACCACAGTCACATATACAGAAAGTGAGAGCTGCCCAAAACCACAAGTAACCCAAACAAAGTCCAAGGTCAGCAGAGCGGCCCACTGAGCTGAAACCGCCGGCCCTGGCTTTCATTACCAGGAAGAGACTCAGCACAGGGACGAGGGGACACATGGGATGGGGTTACGTTCGCTGGCTCTGTTTGTCTGAGGGAGTCTGGCCGGGGTCCAACTCCTACTCTCTCGTCTGCGGAATACAAAACACTCCAAACATCGTGACAGCATCCATTGTTGATTCGAATATCAAACGTTCACATTTTCTTTACTGTGCTTTTCGACACCGCGAAAAACAGACTCTTACTGAAGAACTTTGTTATACAGATTTTACAGCAGATTTCTTTTTTTGAGTGAGTTGTGTGTGTGTGTGTATAAGTCATTTAGTGTGTAACGTTAACCAGGCCTGGCAGAGCTCTGGCTCTAATGGTGCCTGTGAGTGGTAAAGAAGCAGTCATAGCTCTAATGAAAGCCAGGCATAAAAGACAGTGGGCGTCCTCAGCACCAAATGTGTCATACATGTACATGCGGTAAGTTATAATGTACGTATGGACACACGCAAGCACCCACCCACACACAAGCTAAATGAGACCTATCAGTCCTTTAAATCATTTTCTCACCTCTTAAACCCCTACTGTTTCTCTGCTGTTTATATAGAGGCAGACATTGCTGCTAAAATGTAAATAAAAACACCATCTGACCCTCTAAACTGCTTTGTGAGAAGTGCAGATAACATTTTGAAATAACCATTAAATGTCCAGTTTACAACCTTATAGTCTTCCAGCACAAACGAAGCAGTGTCCTGTTTTTATGTGCGTCTCAGCCATTAACTCTGGCAACTGGCAGGGGTTTTCCAGATGAATAAAGAACAAATCAATTCACTCAGCAGGAACAATGCAGGGTGTAGAATTTACTCCTGGAAATGTTTATTGGACACACTTTGTTTATCGATAAAAATCCTTAGTTGGCCAAAAACACAGGGAATGTTTAGGAGGTAATGTAAATGAGCATCACTGCTGATTAAAATTAGATTAATCAAAAACAAAGTTGTGGAAAGCTGAAAATAACTCCAGAGACGGCTGAAAATGGAAATGAGTAACAAATTGGGATGCTGAAGAAATAATGAAAAAGGGAGGAGCAGTTTAGTAACACAAGGTTGCAATTCAAAAATCCATTTGATACAATGTGCAATTCATATATTACCATGTTAGATACATTTTCCAATGTGGCAGAGATGTATCCTTGGTTTTGATCATTGCTTTGGCTTTGTCATCATATTTGCTGTGGGGTTTTCAATAACTACCATAGTCTGTTACATTAATGGTAATTTGGTACTACAGTGTGAATCAAAATGACAAAATGTGAAATGCAACACCCTCCACCTCCAAGCCGACCTCCTGTCTAGACCCTCACATCTTCCCCATCATGGCCAAGGTCCTAGTTCTGTCCTTCCCATTATTCCCCCAGGGGCTAACACGAATGAATGTATATATTTGTGTGTGTATGTGTGTGTGTGTGTGTGCGTGTGCGTGTGCATGCGGAGTGGGTGAGTGTGTGCGTGAGTGGGTGTCATTACTCCTGCCCCCATCTGACGGTTTTGGGTTAAACAATGTTATTATTAAAGCCTTTCCAGAGTAGCTTCCTGCCTGCCTGCCTCCCTCCAGCGACACCCTTACAAACTATAAATCAACTGCCTGAGCCCTGTAAATCACAAACGATGTGTGTGAGTGTGTGTCTCTGTGTGTGTGTCTCTGTGTGTGTGCCTGGTGGCCACTGCAGCTGTGCTCTCAGACGCACATGAAGATGACATTGCAGCTGTGAGCGTGTCACAGCATAGATGAGCCCATGTTACTCTAGTTAGAGTCTTTTTAAAATCACAGTGGAAACATTTGGCAAATGTTAAATAAAAGCATATGCTTTGAATATGAATTTAATGGGAATACAGAAAATGAATTACAGGCATGTATGTTTAATGAAGGGAGATAATCATGTTTTTTGGTCTGATAACACAGCAATGTTTGAAGCTGACTTTTGTGGATATGTGGATAATGTTGTCCACTAAAACCTATTTTGTCAGTAGCAAATTGAATTCCTTGTACAGAAAGCATCCCTGTTGGACCTCCAAAGATTAGTTTATGTCTGAACGGAAACACAGAGACATTTTCATCTCTCTGAGACCAAACTGGATAAATAATGCTCTCTGAAATGCACGGCTCCTGTGCAGCAGTGATGGCTCGTTCTGTGATTGCTTGTGATTGTGTTGACACCCCCTGCTGGGCTGAAAACATCACTACCTCACAGAGAGCAAGCTCACTGCCAGCAACAACGTCCCGTATCCAATCCCACCTCCAGCCAGGCTACAATATACTGAAGGTAATGAATCACTAAAATCAAGCGGATATCTTCTTCCAGCCTCATATCACTCCAAACACAAATATACACAAACAAGAGAAAAAACAACCCAAAAACAATAAATTCAAACCTATTGTATATCCTTAATCTAACCGACTGTGTGAAACTATACGCTTATGTATACTCAAGAGCAGTGTCGGGTTTAGACAGCTGTATCCCCAACAGAATGAGAAATATATATTATGCCGCTGCCGAAAACACTGCCGACCCATAAAAGAGCTATTGTGTGCCCACAGCAAAACAATACAGCTTAGCTGAGCTATGAGAAAAAAAAACATTTGGATCAATAGAGAATTGCAATTAGCCCACATTGGCAGGAGCAGTGCCAGATTAGACACAGGATGTCGATCCCATTTCCTGCACTATCGGGCCCCCAAACTTAGTTGGCTCACTTCGTAATTGGAGCAACACACACAACTGGGTAAGACACTGCAGTGTGAAGGTGGTGGTACATGAGGTTATGGTGATGAAGATAGGGATGATAATAAAAATGGTAAGAAGGTTGAGCAATGTAGGAAAACAAGAAAAAAGGATAGCATGTCAAATAAAAGCATTTGAAGTGTGATAAAACGCAAGAACTGCATCCACATATATGTTTGCCTCAAATGTTGAAAACATGTGATTCTTTGTGTGAATATGCAACATCGAAGAACAGCCTTACAACAGCAGACCAATATACCGACTTAAAGGCGCAGAGTTAACCTGACCATCTCATTTCTGTTCACAGCTACTTATTTTTTTTACAATAATCGCCTTTAAGCTTCACACATGCAACAATTTACAGAATTTAACTTTTTAAAGCAATGTTTTTAAATACATAAATGCTACTTCCACAACATGAAAAGGACATGGCCATGCATTGAAAGAAAACACATCACCACATATATTTTCTTTCACTGCCATGATCTCATTGTGAGCTCTCACTCACAATGTACATTTTCCTGACAAAACTGAATATAACTGACACGCCAATTAAAGGTCTTACCTTTGAGTGTGCCCTGGCCTTGCAGTACATCCCTTGAAATCAGCACAGAGTAGAAGCTTTGTGAGAAGCCAGGTCGGCAGGGACCTTTGGAAGCTTGCTCCCCATTATTCCTCTGGAAAGAAGAGAATAGAAAGCAAGACATCGATAAACATGGATTCCATTGATTTATGGCTTCTCTCTGGCCCTGAGCCTTGGAGAAAGCCAGCAAATTGTACAGCAGTTAGCAGAAATATATTCAACAAGTGTATAAACTATATGCTCCTGGGCACATTAAATACCCACGCTCAGGCAATATCTGTTATGTATAACTTGCTCCATAACAGGAAACCAGGCAATGATGAAATGGGGATGTTATTTTAAGTATTGTGGTCATGGTTAAGTGAGATACACAGCATACACCCACGGTATGAATGCATCAGAATGTTTTCATCCTGACCCTGGGTTACACACTAGCAGAGGGGGGCAGAGAACTGAGGAGAAACTGAGCAGTGCATGCCTGTGAAAACTTTGGACAAAGCATTCAGAGCTTGCTGTTGGTTAAATTGAACGATCTGACCCACTGCAGCCTCCATAAAAGTCAATGTGTGCGCGCACAAAGACACATGGTGCCAAGGCTGGCTGGAGCCTGAATGTGGAGGAGACATAACGCACTAAATATTCCCCTTTTGGGAACGAATACCGCAGGAAAAAATATCTCTGTCATTTTCCTACATTTACATGGCATAAGTAATGGCTTTAGACACAAAAAGCGGCAGAGGGAAAGATTTAGCAGGGTTCCTTGGTGCACCGTTAGGAGAAGCCCACCGGCGCCGACCTAATTCAGCTTGTATTGATTAAATGACGAGAAACGGTTGAAAAGCACCTTACAACTTCAAAGGTTAACTTATTGCAGGCGGATGCTGTTTGGTCAAGGGAGCCTTTTAAAGGAAGGTTCTGCTAAAAATAAGCGTGATGACTCAAATAGTTTGATAAAGAATACAATCATCCCGAGTGATAAAAAGCTGCTGCAGTTTTAACTTGTAGAGGATATTGCAGTGATGAATACGCAGCGTTCCAGAGAATATCTGGCGAGGTTCAGATCGGACAGTGCTGGGTCGTTCACTCTTTACTTTCTTCATTATATTATCTCGGAAACATCGTCATTCATTAGTAACCAATTTGCGTACTTGTAGGGAAATAACGAGCAGCGCTGCAGCACACTGGACTGACACTGGACTCCATCCGACTCCATGACTTTATTCAAGCCTGTGCGCTATGGCTGTGAAACCCTGCACCCGTCATGCGCCCCGCACTCTCACAACTCCTCTACACAGAATAAGAGGTTATAAGACAAAAGCGAAAGCTCACCCCGAACGTGTCAAAAAGAAGGGCTGCTGTCAGGACCAGAGCGAAGTCAGTTCTCATCGTGGCGAGCGAGCGAGCCAGGGCTGCCTGGACGAGGAACCAGAAAGAGGATAGATTCGCGAATCTTCTTAAGTAATTGTGTAAATCCCCCTTGTTGCTCAGTCCCTTCGTTAGGTCCCTCCTCGCTCCGTGAGTGTGCTGCAGCTCTGGCCCGAGTTTCCCCGGCTCTCTCATCTGCAGGTGAGCGCTCCGCTCAGCACCAAGGCGCAGCGTCACTCTCCAACCCCTCCTTTCACCCGGCGCAGGAGAACTCCACACACGCACTTAAAGAAACACTCGGTCTGAGCTTCGGATCAAACAACCGCACCACAGACGCCTTCCCGGGGTCCCAGGTATTTTAATCCCTCTCCTGGGGAGACCTAAAGGGCTTCGCAGTTTTATGGTTGAAAATAAAATAGGTCGGTAAACCATGATTGAAGTCTCTTTGCCGAAGTATGGGAAAGTCATTAACCACTAGCCGTGAAAGTTCCAAGCGTATAGCATCTGACATGTACATTATTAGATTTAGACAGTTAACTAATCGGGCAGACGTGCGCAACATAAAAATAGTACATTATTATTTTTCTTTTAAACTGACTGATGTAGATCCAGGTTCAGGTTTGTACAGACTGAGCTAACAAAAGGGAAGATGCTTATGTCACGTGTGCAGTAGGTAGAGGCCTAACACGTGACCTGCCGGTGATCAGCACAGGTGAAAAAACAGCCCCACCCCTCCACTATGTTCCAACTTGTGAAACTTCCTTCATAATCGTACAGTAAAAGCATATCATCACATTGATAGGTTGCCCTGTATGATAACGCCACATATGTCACATACTATTGTCTAACACACCAAATGTATGAATAGCAATTATTTATGAAATGATTCATATATCATGATCGATACTTGCAATAGTTTTAATTATCTCTTGTTCAACATTTGTGATGGATAATTGGAATTATTTAATACTATACGTTTATCTATGTGCTACAGATCACATATTTAAATTTGTATTGGATTAGTATTCTGAGTCTACCACACTGTTTTTTCATTTTATGTAAGGGACAAGAGAACCATTGACAGTTGCAGATGCATTGTATGATAAAGCACATTTCTCAAACCAGTCATTTGATAGGCATTCATGGGTAATCATTATCTGCAAATGAAGCCAGGAATTTTCAATTTTCAAAGGGGAATGTGTGGGTGAAATTGAAATGCTTATATGAATGCAGACCTTGATGTTGACCCTCAGTCAGCATTGGTGCAAGCTTTTGTATCGTTTGAAAGGCTTTGTGTGTGGTATTTGATCTATTTATTAAAATGTAAACCAAGTAATGAAGTTATGCTCAACACCAGAATTCTCTTTGTAGATGTGTAATTAATAGTGTTGGATTGTGATTATCACACTGGCTCAACTCACCAAATACTCAGCATACCTTTTGAATAAATTCAAACACTGTCCCTGACTTTTAGAGACATTTACATCAGAAGACAAGTTGAACAAGAGTCAATTCAAAAGCTTTACAATGTGAATCCAAATGTCCTACAAAGACTGAACTTGGCTCTCTTTGAACTGAGCTTCCGTTTCCAACTTAATGACTTCTGACTGAAAAAAGGCTTGAAAAGACCATGCTATAGTATTACCTTGCATCCGTTTCCATGAAGTTCAAAACAATCTCTTACCATTAGCGGTGTGTGTGCCTCAACAGTGTCTCGTCGATACATAAAACCTTTCCACGAACAAAAAACAGCAAATTGGTCTATACAGTATATGTGCTTTAAAAGCCAATTGGCTCTAATCCTTTCAAAAACAGAATGACTGCATTAGTGGGCGGGTGCTCAGCAGAATTTCTCTTTGTGACATGCAGGCATTTTTTCTCTCACATCCCAATCCCTTTGTCCCAAGGATGAGCTTCTATCGTGTCGTCTGTTTGGCTGATGAGCTCTGTGACATGGATATGGTGGTTTTCCTGATAAATGCTGTTATTGGCAGGTATTTTATCTTCTCTTAGCTTTGTGTGTGTTGAGGTCAATATGTGGTAATGTCACTACTCAGAACATTGATCCTGGAGTCTGGACAATACTGCAAAACTCCCAATTGCATTACAACTTCATGAAATTATTAAATCTTGACATTTTAGGTTCAGCAACTAAAGGCCCTGACACACCGAGCCGATTTCGGCCGACGATAGATGTCTAGCCGTCGATGAGCGTCCTGTCGCCCTACTCAGATTGGTGTGTCCCGCACCGTCGTGTCTTTTCGGCCGTGCCGACACCTTCCGCCGCCGATTCAACATGTTGAATCGGGAGGCTGTTGGCAAAAGGCTGTAGGCAAAATAAATCACTCTGATTGGCTGTTCAGCTTAGCGAATCAGTGCATGAGAAGCGAAACAGAAGTGAAGAAGGCACACACAGACGGCTATTATTTTTCATTTTCCAGTACCGCACTAAACATGTTTTCGATTATAAGTTGTTATGTGAAACAGTCTGTGAAACAGTCTGTGATGGACGAGAGTGAAAATGGATCGCACGCTATTTGTTGTTTGTATATATCACGCAGTCTGTCTTCCGGTTGCCTCTTTTGAATGACGAATACACACACACGCTTGCTGGTAAGGAGAGTTATTGCCACTCACGCATGCGCAGTGCGTATGTGCTACTTGGCCGTCGGATGAAGTCTTAGCGGTGTGTTCCAGTGCGACTTTTTGGCCAAGACACAGGAGACGTGAGGCGACAAAACAATCGGGTCCGTCGGGACGTGTTCTTTGGTGTCAGTTTGGTGTGTCAGGGCCTTAAAATGTGGTAAGGCCTGGTTTGCAAATATGATACAGCAAAAACGTTTTTACCCTCAGTAAACATTTTAACCCTACTCTTGCGTTTCAGGTCAAAAGTGACCGAATGACATTTGTTTTAATCATAAATATTGTGTTTTTCATTCAATTGCCTCAATACCTTATGTTATCCTCCACACTAGGCCTCTGAACATATACACTTGATGATCACCACTTGCATTGAATTTTGAGTGATTTATTCAACAGTGAAACACCCCCACACACACGCGCTACGGGAACCTCTCCCTTTCTCGCGCTGTATGATGCAATGTATCATGCCTTCTCACAGGTGCGAGCTCTGTGCCCCTGGAGAAACACAAACCTCTCACTTTCTCGCGCTAAATGCGCCACACACACACACACACACACACACACACACACACACACACACACACACACACACACACACACACACACACACACACACACACACACACACACACACACACACACACACACACACACACACACACACACACACACACACACACACACACACACACACACACACACACACACACACACACACACACACACACACACACACACACACACACACACACACACACACACACACACACACACACACACACACACACGTTATGGTATATTTCTCTTTCAATAAATGTTCATTGAGGAAAACAGTATCAGTGTCGTATTTTATATTCATCACAGTGAGTGCAGTGAATGCTGAACTTGATGGGCCCACCGGTGGGTCCGGACCATGACATGAAACACTGGCTAGCTTGTATCAAATCAATACATCCCATACATCATTGGAACGGGAAGAATCTCAGCTACAACACTAACTAAAGCATTTCCATCTCCAGTAAACACAGCCTACATGGCAAGCATTTTTATAATATACAGTAATGTAAAATAAGCACTATCTTTGAACTTACTGCAAAAAATAATATGAAATTCACCCCTGGTGTCATTCTGTCTGTCACCCCTTGATTCTACTTGCTTTGACTGTTCAAATGAGATGTCAACCATCAAAATTGGATAAGGGGTTCCAGAGATATCACTGTGCAAAACACACCGGTCAATTTTGACCGAAAATAGCATGGGAAGGGGGGTATGACCTAACGCAAGAGAAGGGTTAAATGATTTTCCATCTTTTGTCATAGCAGGAAATTATAGTTTATTGTATTGACGGAACAAAATCAATATCGCGTATCACTGGTAAATGGCGTTATAACCGGACTTCTTAAAGTACTGTACTGTAAAGACTGAAACTAAACTCCAAACCACATATATTGTGCTACAGGATACAAGATCTAAGAGCTGAACACAGAGAGGCTTGCTTCTCACATAGCATGGCACAATAAAATTAAGTTTAACAAAGAAAATGGAGAAACTGCTTTTGTTACTCGATGAAGATGAAAGATAAATGTTGATCTCATCTATGAAATTCAGACTTACTTCATGACCATCCACCCACCCTGACCTACACTAGCTTACTGTTGTAGTCGCAGGCTTTGGGTTTCAGTTCAGAAGTGCCCTCACTCAGTTGCTGGCTTTAACTGTTCAGTATAGGCATAAACAAGCACTTGTTTACAAGGTTAATAACTAAGCAGTCACTTGCAGTATGCAAGTTATCACTTCACAATCTGTGGCTTTTCTCCCTTTTAGAAAGTGTTTTACCATGTAGTAAATACTGTTTGCCACATATTGTGTTAAGCTTGAACTGCGCTTGAACTGAACACCCCTGAATGTTTAAAACAATGCCTCCCTCCATTTGCTGTTCAATAACTCATCAGGGCATTGCCTCCCAGAAAGATATGAAGCTTTAAAAATGGGGATTTACAGTTGATTTTAGAAAAAGATTAAAGGGAAAAACTCACCCTAATGTGCATTTAATCTTACTGCTACAGAGATAATGTAAGGTGAACTGGTTAGGAAATCAAAAAAGATATGCACCCAGATATAATGTCTCCACTCATACAATTCCAGATACCTTTTTTTGTAGACCTTGAATATGAATAACTAAATCGACTTTTAAAAGATCCGTGGGTTCTCAGCATTGTCACCATGTTGGATAAATACTAAACGTAAAAAAGAAAGGAAAAAGGGCCTCAGTAGTCAGCTGTTCTCTTGTGCCTGTGGTCCTTTGTTGTGTCCCTCTGCTTATCTTTTATGACAGATTTATTCACTGTGGGGGACCCATTCCAAACTACCTCTGCTTTTATCTGCGGCAGAATTGAAAATCTACCCATGGTGAACCTGTCCACCAAAACTCTGTGAATCTCTTTGACTCAACGTAGCAGAAAAGCACAGAAATAACAAATATCATTAACAATATCTCACATTCATTCAAAACATGTGCCATGCTACTGAGCAGAACACACTATCAGGGTCCAAGAAACTGGGAACCTAATTTAAATTAAATTATTAATTTGTAATAATACAAAATCTGCTGTTCGTGATTCACGTTTGCCATAAAAAAATCTCTATTCAGCTAACATATTTCCCAATAATATAGTAGGCTTACCTAATTATGTGAGTATTTAGTGTGTTCACAAAAAAAAGCATTACTAAAGTAAATATACAAAAAATGAGTGTAGCTGACAAATATTGATGTACACTATTGTGTACATACATCTATTATTTGCCAAATAGGTCTTTGAAAACAGCAAAATATAAAGGATAGGCTCACGCACACTGCCTATGGTGTCTTGCAGCAAAATTC